TTAATAATATATTTTATAAAGATAATAATTAAGTATTCTGTTAGAACTCAATGATTATCCTAATTATATTTTAGATGTTTTATATTTAAAATGAGATGTTTATCTTATATTTGATTATATATGTTTATCTGCAGTTAGTTACACGAATTCAGATATGAAGCTTTAATAAGTTGTACTTACGCACAATCTATTTGCAATCTTGAGTTTTAAGTAATATGTATTAATAAACAGTACTTTAAGCACAAAAAGTAGTTTTTAAGAGTTTTTGTCAAATACTTTATAATATATATATATATATATATATATATATATTGCAATCTTGACTAATTTGACTTTTGTTTGTTCTTATTTGATAAAATGATAACAGATTGGGGTGGATATTGTCAAGTGCTTAAAATGTTGTTGTTTGGAAAAGAGGAGGATTGTGCTTCACTTATGGGATAAGTTGAAGGGTAGTGGCGTCTTATATATGAATCTTGAAGGGGCAAAGTTGGCGTTTCTGTAAAACTATATAAGATGTTTCAAGACTGATTTGAGCTCATATATTCATTTTCACATTTTGAAATCGGTTTACAAAAGTTCTCTCTCTATCTAGTTCTTGTTATATTCTTTCATCCTTTCATTTGTTTAACTTTCATTTTGTTCATATTATTAGAGTTAGATCTTTGTATATTGTAATCTGTTTTCTTTATGTTCTTTCTATTTACAATTTCTATAAAATAAATCTTTGAATATCTCTAGTTTGAACATGGTATCAGAGCAACAGGTACGTCTCCTTTCAATATCTTTTTTGTTTTTGGATTTATCGATCTATTGAATCAGGTAGATGATTGGTTAGGAATCTTGGTGCATGATGCCCTTATGCGTCTGTTTACCAGATCTCATCATGATATCTGATTTGCGTCGCTTGATTTCTTTTCTATGAGATGATCGACTGGGTTGTGTACCTTGTAGATCTCTAGATCTGAATAGGTCCCCTTTCGACATCTGTTTCTGTTTGAGTTTAGATCTTCTTTGGATTTGGCTTCCTTTTCCTTTAAATCTGCTTAT